TGTGAAGATAACGCAGGACTGAAGCTGCATGAAATGTCAAACACCATCTGGAGGGAGGGAAGCTACCCTAAAGACTCACAAGTGCTTCAGTGTTACCAACTGAAATTTGGTTTTGGTGTTTTTGGTTTTGGTACTTTATTTTGTAATATAAATCTTGTCTGTGCTAAATAATGTATTCACAGTTACCCTATTTCTAAGCCATATTCATTTAATCAATATGAATATCTATTATGTGTGACACCCTCTTCTATGTGTGTATGTGTTATACATTAGGGAACCAAAACCACAAAGATTTACGTCATGCAGGGTAACTTTTAGCTGAGTCAGAGAAACAAGTACTAAGTGTAAGTAAGGTACAGAACATGCTAGGAGATAGTAAGTCCTAAGGGGAAAAAAGGACAAATTATAGCAAGGTAAGGATCAAGGATTCTAGGGATGGAGTGATAGAGGAAGGTCAGGTGTAGCATTAAACAGAGTGACCTCAGTTTCTTAAACCATACCATCTGATCTAACTGTAACACAACAATGATGACGGAAGAGGAAATGTCCTTTAAAACTTCTTAGAAATCACAAAATACATATTTACCATTACCACTGCTATTGGTGGTATTTAGTAGCAACAGAGGATTCCTTTGGGTCATTATGATGTTGGAAATATGGGTAGTTTGGTATGATATGACTAGAAATCATAGTACCTATTTAGATTATATAAAATTATTGTTCTGCTATGTTTAAATATTCAGAGGTGAAATATTTCACCTCTTAGCAAGCCACCTCTGGGTTAGAATATTTACATTTGGTGGAGGGAGATTTCAGCATATGTTAAGAAATAGAAATGCACCAAAAGTATATTCTTCCCCTTACTACAGTGTTCCAGTTTCACAGGTTTTGGTGGAGTTTTGGTTTCCAGGGTAGAAGTCACTTCTTTAGACCTGTTAACTAAAGTTGTTGGCAGACAGAATGGTCAGGAACACAAATCTCAGCATCCTATAGGCCTACTTTCTAGTTTTTGCTTTTTTCCTTCTGAATCTTGAAGCCATAAGAGCAGTGAAGAATAGGAGGGAGCAAATGAGGCTTTCATAAATGGCCTCCTAAGCAATGTAACAAAGTAGATGAAGATTATTTCAGATTGAATAACAACAAATTGGAAAACAGTAAGTGAGCAAGAGAAAATGTCACAGGTACTGATACAAAGGAAAAATAAAATGTGTTAGATAGTAAACCCAGATTAAGATGCCACAGACCAACTCACTAGCTTCCAGCTACATATCCATTTTACCTCTCTGTGCTTCTTTTCCTCAGCTCTAGAAGGGGAACAACTCATGTACAGAGTCCACATGTATCCACTAGAATCTTAGGGAGGTGAAGGTTTGGAAACCGTAAAGAACTACCATGCATTTATTAACCACCTGCAGAAGAACAGGGAGCACCGTAAATGACTAATTTATATTTTAGCAACTGAAACAACCAGATACCAAGTCAGGAGAATGCTTAACCATAGGTAAAAAATGGGAATCAGCCCATAAGTAAATTAAACAGCATGAAAGCACTGTAGAACTCCACCAGTATTTTCCAAATTGCAGATCATTCATCTATCAGTGAACTGTAAAATTATTTTACTGGGTTGCAACCAGCATTATTTTTAGTAAAATAAAATAAAACAGAACAATGTCAGAATGAGCTGTAGTCATAATATAAAACACTGTTACATGTAACTTTGGATTCAGTTCTACATAATTATGTTCTGTAGGTCACAATATTATTGGGGTTTTTCTCAAGAAATTTGAAAGACACTGTCCTAAGCGATCACAAAGCTAGATTCAAGGGAAAGCTGGGTCCTCATCATGAAATTTAAAGACACGGGTGCTTCTATTACACCTGTAAGGTAGATAAGATGGAAGAAAGCAAGGCAAAATTCATAGCAATCTGTATAATACCTTAACTAGTCCCCTAGCTACATCCCCTGTCCAAATCAATATGAAAGCATTAAAACAAAAATCTTAAGTTCATGTTATCAAACAAAAGGGAAGGGTGAGGGGGCAAAACCTGAAGAACTGTGCATCACAGATCACAACAGTGATAAGCCTCTGTTCTCTGGGTGATGGTCTCCAACATGGTATACTTAAACCTCTGAAAGGCAAAGACGAGGACTCTGGGTACACAAAAGAACCTGAAGGTGGTAGGCAATTGCAGGCACACTTAACCTGAAACCATTGAGGGCTGTTCATAGCTGTTGTCTTCAACTCAGATCATGTTTATCTTCATTAAAATTATCGCACTAGGAATACAATGTGAATTTTTCCTACACCTGGCCCTAGCCCTCCCTTCCTTCACCTTCTCCAGCAAACCTTCTGCAGGCAAAGCTTGACCTGCATCTGCTCCTTGTGGGAAATGCCCATTGGTCAGCCTGAGACAGGCAGGACACTTTACAGCTGTCTCTTTTTATCCTTTGAATCTTAGTTCAAACATCACCTCCTCAGAGAAGTCTGCCTCTCCTTGCTCTTGCTGAAGCAGTTCCCCACTAGTCATTCTCCAGCACACTGCTAACAAGTCATCTGATTTATTTGCTTCATAATCATCTATTTCCTCTCACCACAAGGTAAGTTTCCTGAAGACAAAGACTTGTCTTGATCGGACTACATTCCTTGTCTCCATCGGACTACATTCCTTGTCTCCCTAGAATAACATCTGCTTATCTTTTGAGTGAATCAATTCATGAAGTTTAATAGAGTAAGTAAATGGCACACAGACAACTCCAGCTCTTTTGCTGTCTGCATCTTTACCACCACCACACTGTCATCTTAACAGAAGCAACTTAACATTTACACAGTGTATTACAATGTTTGGAAAATGCTTTTATGTTAGTAGTATTATTTGGTTAGAGATTGGCTAGAGGTTGATTAGGGACAAGCACAGGATGGTTATTATCCAGATTTCTATGTTTATAAATCCAGAAAGTGAGTTTTAGAAAAATAATAAATGGCTTGATCATTTACTGAGCCATGAGCACACAAATCCATTTTATCTAGAACACCATGCTCTTCCTCATGTTCACACAAAGCAGAAGGAAAACACGGCTGGCATATACTGAACTGGAGAAATACAGCCAATTACAACAGTGAGACATCAGAGGACCGTGAACTTCCTTCTAGAAGGACCTGAATGCTAGACCAAAGATGGGGGGGAGAAGTAATATCATCAGATGTCTTGGAGAAAAATAATTCTAGTGGATGTAGAATGGATTAAAGAAGAATATTAAAAACAAAAGAGGATGTTCTTCTCATTTACAATAATGAAGTAATTATGGATTAAGGAAGTGGAATAGAGGAAAGCGGAGCTATTGTCAGACAACATAGGTGGTGGTAACAAAAAAGTGAAGAGTGAAGGGCCTTGGATTCCCCCCCACCGAATTTGAGAATCTGTACTCAGTATGAACATCTGGCAACATCAGATTTAGTATCTGTAATTTTTTACCCACGCACTCAAAAATTACTACTATTCTATGCTGTCATACTTCTCAGAATTGGTTTTGAAAAGTGGGAATGTGGTCAGCTACACAACTTTATTTGCTATAGAATATATGGAGAGCAACAGACGTTATCACATGTTCATTTGTTGTCATGGACTCAGATAAGACAAATAAGAAATATAAAATTAAGACAACTGAAAAATTCAAAAATTTGCCAATATCTTAAAAGATTATTAAATAGAAAATATTCTGGAAGTACACATTCTTGTTAATGGATCAGAAAAGGTTAAAATAGTATCTTTATTTAATTTCTGAACAAAAATATATTTTGGAAAAACAACACATAAATGCCTAAGAAGACCTTTCTAAAATCCAGTATCTTTGCATTTTTAAATTAAATTCCTGAAAACATTTCTTTTACAATGTTAAATGAAATTTGGCTTAAGGACAGACATTATTTAGAGTAAACCTTACTTAGGCGTTTCTTTATAAGCTACATATGCATCTCATTCATTTCAAGTTTCACTATAATTTACAATTGCTCTATGCATAAACGCCCTACAGATTTTATCCTCAATAAAATTAGAAAATATATCAATAACCAATATAGTTGTATCATCTTATCATAAGCAAAAGAAATTTGTAGAGTGACCATATTTTCTTTTTAGCACCAACTATTATAAACATAAATCTGCTTTTAAAAATAAAAATATACCCTAACATAAAAGAGTAACAATTCTCTGAACATGAAAATTAGGGCCATCTTGTCAACAAAAAGAGTCTGTATCAGAATTTCTGTTCGTGTCATTTTAAGTTTTCTTGACCCGTAAGACTTTTTATTGGGTTCAAAGAACATTAGTATGTTTGAATTCAAGAAAATATGATCTCAAGAGTTTTTAAGAGATGCTCTCTTACTCCCTTTCAGTTACTCAATTTAAAACTTATTTCTTCCTAGGAATTTCTGTTGTTTCTAAACTGGACAATTTTCTTTCCACTGCTAATGTAATGCTGTTATATTTTATGTACACAGGGAGCTGCTATAGTCAACTCTACAATGAGTAACTGCAGGTATTTCTTCTACTTTATAATCAAAGTGAGTATTTCCTCATTTGCTACAGGTCATCTGCAGGCTCCCCTTCTGCAGTAATCAGAGTCATACATTATTTTAAATAAATAAACATTTACAAATGGTGAAGTCCTCTTCTGAAATAGTTTATTTACCATGTCACCTTACTGTTATTCACATAGAATAAAACAGATGCTCCATAGCAACAGTAAAAAAAAACAGGTTTATCAGCATTTTTTTAAACTATGCTTACCGGAGGTCAGGTTAACAGAAGTACTCAGCTGTCATGTGAAAGGAAACATTATATCTGATAGAGAATTATGGGTCTTTCTCAAGACCTGATTTAAAAAAAATAGTTTTATCAAGAATGTAAGAACTGGTATATACATGGCACACCTCTTATCTTTTCAACCATAACCATGCATACAAAAAGGAAGCTCAATGAAATTATATTGTGGTTCTTACCTAAAGAATGTGCAGCTGTAGTTTTAGAGCTAAAAAACCGACCAAGCCCAAGATCTCCCAGTTTTACCACCCCAGTGGCTGTAATGAACACATTAGCTGGTTTTATATCTGTTAATAAACGAAGAGATCAGGTGAAAGACAAAATGTTAGGAACTTTAAATGGGTAAGAAACTTTTTTTCAGTATAGGATTTAAAATGTATTTTAAACATGAAAGCCTGAGTTTGAATCAATCACTTTATTTACAATAATTTTGACATATAATATTTCAAAGTTCCCAATCCTCTGATAGATTATCATAAATGCAGCAGGATGACCATTGTTATAAATTTCCATTTAAAGTATTTTTTCCATTTTCAACAACCTTTTATGAAATTTAAAGAACAAAATTAATTTGTGTCCTACTTACCAACAATTTAAAATAACATATATTACTAAAAATGAACATATTGGTATGCTTACATAAGATACAGAATCATGATTTAAAATATTATGCATATTGTTATTTACTTAGATGCCTTTAGAAAATTTGCTTTAATAGCTTTGAGAATTTTCACATTCCCAAATCAGTGAATCAATTACTTAATGATATGACCTTAACACTCTGCTCATCCATTTGACTGATTATCAAGACTGCATCATAAGCTAATGCTAAAGTTTAAAATCTAAATGCACATAGCATATACAGTATTCATTTGAAGAGAAAACAACAACAACAAAGCAACAAAAACTCTCTTCTTTATGCACATTCAACTTCTTTCCACATCTTTTTCCTTATCAATATAACCAGTAAGATGCTGAGAATAAAAAAAGCAAATTTTAAAAAATTCTTATTTAAAACCAAATACATCTATACTTAAAGGTTTGCAATTCTAACAAAATTGTAATTTGTAAACAAATTACCTGAGACTAGGTGACACTATGTGATGATTAGAACACTTTTATTTTAAATTACTTACCAAAAATATTAAAAAATCTTGTCTTACCAAAAATATTAAAGATCCTTAATGACTTTATCTTACCTCTATGCATGACTCTTCGAGAATGCATATGCTCCAATGCACTGCAGAGCTGGACAAAGTACTTCCAAACAGTTCTTTCAGGAATTAGCCTCTTTTGCTTCTTAAAATGCTTTTTAAACAATTGAAAATAACAATTATGAGAAAGTTTCTTAAACTGAATTCTGGCATGCAAAAATCCATAAATCAGAAAACACCTTTTATTTATTTTTATCAAAAAGCATATGGTTTTCTATTCTGAATGATTCTAAGAATATTAAACTGACATAAAAGCCTAAGCTTCCTATTATACATAAGGTTAGCACAAGCTACATAACACTACATCTCTGTAATGTCCAAGTATTACAAAAACTTAACATCTATATAAAATAATGTCTTAAAAAGAAGTTGTCAAATTTCATTTTAAGAAAAGCCAGAATGAAAATGTCTAGAAATCTGAAGATAATTATATTCACTAAAAGACAATACTTCTGGCAGAAGGCTTCACTATAGAATTCCATTTAAATACTGAACCACTCTGGTGATTTGAAATACCTCAATTTATTAAAAATTAAATAAATAAAAGGGATTTGTGTAAAAAATTTTCATGAATATTTCTACCACACCATTCAAGGCAAACTTGCACTTTGCTTTGAATGAATGAAACTGAACTCTTTGTGAGCACAGTCCAACAGGAAGGTGGAGCAAAGCTGAGAGGACCAACAGGCCACTTAGGAGAGAGCAGGCCATGCATGGCACATATAGGGAAATTTACTAAAGTAACTGCAAAACCAAACACATATTCATACCTCTCTTTCTATATTGAATTTGCTACAAGACTATAAGTTCTTAGCTTCATCAGGTATATTCTTTTATAAAAATCATTTCTCAAAAACAAAAATACAATTGATTTCCTATTCAACAATATTTATAAATGGCCAAAATGAAGAAATCATATATCTAGGTGTGTTTTCATTAAAAAATTCTGTTAATTTTAACTTTTAAAAGTATACATACTTATTACATAGATGTCAAATTTTAAATATAGTACTTAATGGAATACGCTATTAGAAAAGACATTTGGAGAAGTCCAACTAATTTGATTTTTGTTATTGAATATGGAGAGAATGCACATGAAGAAGTTCAAAACTACTACTCAATTGTTACACCTATGACCAGCTGAGGGCAGGCTGAGAGGAAAACAGTACAAGAAAATATGTTCATATCCCTTCTTCATAGGAATAGATTATATCTACTGAATACACTGAAACACAGATCTTTAAGGAAAAGCTAGTAATCTTATGTTCATCTTTATTATAGCACATTTGCGGGAATGAACTTATTTGAAATTTTCAATTGCTATTACATCAACATTATATCCTAAACACCAAATAATAGATGACCAGTTGGATGGTAATTTTTTTAAAAGCAAATCCAGGGCTTACTAAAATGTTGAAAATCTCTTACATCATGTTTCAATATGAAGTGTTTGTAACTGTAGACTGTCAACGTCAGTTTTCATTTGAAGGGGGCAATGTTCAAAACCTAGATTTTTACACATAATTTTCTTTCAGACTTGGAATGAGTCCAAATAAAGCCTGCACATGTGCTCTCCCAATGCTAGATTAGCATATCAGAGGACTGTTTGATGTCAACAGGAAGATGGAGACCAGGCTTCTTTTCATTCAAAAATAAATATACCATATCATGCAAGCATCAGACCATGAAAGAAAAATTTTATGCTTTAATATAGATTCTACAATCATTAATTATAATTAACTTGGCAGTTTATGATTAAGTCTCATTATTGAAACCTAAGTAGAAAAGAAAAGGCGTAAGAAAGAAATTACCCTCAAATGTATGTTAGGGGAAGATGCTATTAGACCAAGATGACCTGACCATTTCCATATTCTTCCAGAGTGACTCCCAAAACAAGTTAAGAATGATGACAATAAACTGACACCAATTTAATGTGACCTCGCAAGAATTAAACATCCAACTTCATAACAGCCTGCTGAAGACTAACACTATGAATTTGACGTTGTCATAAAATAAATTAAAGGCAATTTTACTATGTCACTGTATCTCCCGAGCTTCTTTAGAAGTGTGTGTTTAAACGTATGTGGGTTTTCAAACGTTTTTGAAGTATAGGTTTTTTGTTTGTTTTATTGAGAAAACCAACACCTACAACAAGAAAAGTCTGTTCTGATGGTGGCGCTGTTGGCTACCTCTTAAGAGAGGATGAACAGCAAAAAGCAATGAAAACCTGAATGATTTTTAATACTGATGACTTACATTAGCATTGTAAGATAGAAACTTGTATGTTAAAGTATAAAAAAACTGACCTTCTCTGAAAACTTACTCTAATAAACACATCTATTTCAAAATTTCATTCTCTAGCCAAATAGCATTATTGCTCCAAATCTTATTTTCTCCAGAAAAGGACTGCTCTATATAAATATTTAGCTTGAAATTTTAAAAAAATCTAATGCCAACATATAAAAATTAAACAAACATATTTCTCTATAGGAAATTTTAATATAGCAATAAATAATGTAACCAAAACTTCTAAAGGCTGGTATCAAGACAAATATTTATAAGAAAGATTATGTGTTATGGCACCTTTACCACTTTCATGTTATGAAACAGAACTGTAACTATTTTATACCTAAAAATAAAGTGTCTAAAAATAAACAGAAATTAACATTCAGGTACACTGGATCACTTGGACATAAATCTTGTTTGTTTTTTTTAAGTAGGCTAATCTTGAAATAGTTGATTTTTAAAACAGCACTTTCCACCGCCATTACTGTTACTAAATAAAAATTAGAATAGTAACATGTAACAAAGTGCTAATCTAAGTGCTAACTTAGATAGAAACTTCAGATTTTATTATTTTCTTACATGTTAGTAAAAAGACTACTAACATTTCACTTAGGTAAAACTAAGCATACCTGGTAAAACATATTTGTGTTGCAACCTAAGTGATTTTTTATTAATATGAAAGAGACTAGCTGAGGCAAACTGCCTCCATTCAAAGATTTTATACCTTTTTTTAATAATCACTAAACGTCCATACACAAATTAAATGCCCCAGACCAAATCGAGTTATATAACGGTTGTTGAATACCTAAGTACTATTCTTTGGACTCAGCTGGGTAACTTGGCCCCTGACACTACCACTCAAGGAAGAACCTACTACTGCTTGTTTCTAAGTTTTGTGATTCTACCATTTTTCCTCAAAAAAATCTCTGGAGGAGCTTCAATAATTACTCAGCATAAATTCCTCAACAGAAAAAAAATGGGGAATGATCTTGATTTAATATGTATGACATGCAAAAGTATTTAAGCTTTCAGTTAGAAAGCTTTAAGGGAAAAAATTACAAGTAAACACCTGGAGCCATTAGAGCCAGCTTTGTGGGCCTGCAACCTGTGCAGTCACACAGGTCCTGTCCTTATTTGAATGCTCTCTTACTGTCACCTCAAAGATTCTTAATGATTTTTTAACAAAGAGACCTGCAATTACGCAGCCAGTACTTGGAAATCCACACTAAGTATCCTTTGTACTGCTGTGGTTAAAAAACAAAAAAAATGAACAAAAACAACAAACAGAATCTTTGTGTGCAAGACATTTTTTAAGAGTATTGGAAAAATGATAATTAACTGATAAGAAATAATGAAGTTATTAGAGAACTACAATTGCAGGCACCAGCTGTTCTCCATCTCTTCCAACTATGCAACAGGAGGAAGTGAGTGATTTATGTTTAATAAGGAAACACTTCCTGCTTGGGAGTACTGTCAAATGTTTAAAACTGCCACTAACATAATACATATTTATCTTTAATAACAGACCTGATTATGAGGCATGACAGTAACTAACTGTGTGACCTTGAACATGCACTTCACCACACTGGGTCTCAATGTGATCTCACTATATTAAGCAGAGAGTCTGGGGGTAATCTATGAGGTCCCTGCCACCTCTAAATATAATCTGTGGTTCTATAATTCCACTTACAAATAAAGCATAAAATAATAAAGGTCTATTTGGCACATTTTCACCCTTGAAGATAATCATATGCCCTATCCTTCATATCTCCAGTTAATAAAAACAATGCACCCCTCCAAAAAAAAAAAACCCTAGAGATCAACATTGTTTCACTTAATCCTATAAATTGTTTTCACATGAAATGACAGGTAAACTATATTTCCATGCTATAAACTTGTGGTTAGGACAAATATTATCAGAAAGGCTGTTTTACTTCCAAACATCTTTGTAGTTACACCTATTTTTACAAAACTTCATTTTGCAGCCATTATTTCAAAGAATTAACTACAGAGTCTTGTGATTCTCAAAGTGTAGCTGACTATTCTAAATGTGTTTTTATTATACAATAATGTCACCTTTTTCTCTATTTTTTATCAGCATGTATTAATTGTACAAAGGAGTTTCATTGTGATATTTCATATATATATATATATATATATATATATAAAATGTACTTTAATCAAATTCAACTACCATTACTCTTCCTTTCTTCCCCAGTTTTAAACAATTTTAATGGGTTTCATTGTTTTATAATTTGACCATATTCACCCCTCTCACTTCACCTTCTCTTTTCTCCCTCCCCTTTCCTGCTGGTTCCCACCCCAAAGTGTCCCCCCATTTTACACTCATGTAAGACATGAGTGTAACACTTTTCTTCTGAAAGTATTATATCAACAGATTACACTAGGCAAGTTTTGCTGTACATAATCTTGGAAAAATTGTATGTGTAAAATATATCTCAATTAGAATTTTGATCTATAATGATAATTTGCAGCATATGAATATTCTCACTCCTGGCAATGTGAAGAAAATAAAGATAACTTAGCTGGATGCAGTGACTCATTCACAATCCCAGCTACTTGGGTGGTGGAAATCTGGAGGATCCCATTTTGAGACTGGCCTGGCAAAAAATTAGCAAAACTCAACCAATGAAGTGGATGTGGTGGTTCACATCTATAATCCCAGCTATGTGGGAGGCATAAGGTAGGAGTATCATGGCCAAAGTTGGCCCTAGGCAAAATCTCAAGACCCTATCCAAAAAATGACTACAAGGAAAAAGGGCTGAGAACATGGCTTAAGTGGTAGAG